TCATGAAACTATCAATTCATTGAGCTATCAATCCATCGAGCTATAAAATCAGCAAGCTATCAATTCAGCGAGCTATCAATCTATCAAGCTATCAATTCATTGAACTATCAATTCATCAAGCTATCAATTCATTGAACTATCAATCTATCGAGCTATAGAATCAGCAAGCTATCAAGTCAGTGAGTTATCAATTCATCAAGCTATTAATTCATTGAACTATCAATTCATCAGGCTATCAATTCATTGAACTATCAATCTATCAAGCTATCAATTAATTGAACTATCCATTCATCAAGTTATTAATTCATTGAACTATCAATCTATCGAGCTATGAAGTCAGCAAGCTATCAATTCAGCGAGCTATCAATCTATAAAGCTATCAATTCATTGAACTATCAATTCATCGAACTATTAATTCATTAAGCTGTCAATTCATTAAGCTATCAATTCATCAAACTAAGAATTTATCAAACTATTAATTCATCAAGCTATCAGTTCATCAATTCGTTAATACATCCATTCATCAATTCATCAATTCATCATTCATCAATACACTAATTCATCAATTCATCAATTCATCAATTCATCAATTCCTCAATTCATCAATACATCGATCAATTCACTGGTTCATTACTTCGACAATAAAAAAATGTGAAATGTGAAGGTTTGTTACATTCGAGCTGCGAATGCGTCACGAACGAGACTCGTCAAAGTACAAGAAGTTAAAATCGCAGCGCGTTAATGTTTTCAACGAGTTTTCTTCGGAAACGGTTAAGTAATTTTGGGGACGTTTAACCGAAATTGTTCGAAGATTTTCGAGTGAGCATTTCCAACAGCCATCAGGACTCGCGTGCATACGTGACATGCACGTGAAATAAGACGGGAAACATATCGTTTTCGGTGCAACATAGTAAAGTGGAAATAAAAAGCCGCATCATTCGTAATCACAGGTGTGCATCTAGCTCAGGGCCGTTGCCACATTTTGCAGTCTTGAAATTGCACTCCAATTTCCATGATACCTGGTACTTATAAGCGTCGATTTAAAAGCGTACATTTTCTTTTTCCACACTGTCGCATTCGAAATTTTTGCATACCACGCTCGGTATTATGTTTTAAGACCTCTAATAACATCATAGAACTGACGGAATATAATACTTACGTGTCAATATTGCTGCGAGAGGGTTGCAATTTCCAACTTAACTCTCGAATTTTACATTGTTCATGTTGCTAAATAGTTGCTGTCAGATTCTGGTTTAATGTTTAATGTTAATCGTACGATATTGTTAAGTTATCTCAATACAATGTTTTTCAATGTTGAATAAATTGATCGGTGCTTTGATTAGGGATGAAATATTAAATTGATGAGTTTGGGTTTGCTGTTGAAATGATTCACCTCTATTGTCGATAGAAATTAATTCAATTATTGTTCATTCAATATGTTATTCATTCAATTGGTTGTCATGATAGATTCTAGATGTTGGTGGCAGTTATCGATTGCAATTAATAATATCAATTATTGATTGTAATTATTGACTCCAATAGTTGATTGAAATTATTGATTAAAATTCATTGATTTCAGCTATTGATTAAAATTGATTGATTACGCTTATTGATTAAAATTGATTTATTTCGATTATTGATTGATATTGACTGATTTCAGTTATTGATTAAAATTGATTGATTTCTATTATTGATTGATATTGATTCATTTCAGTTATTGATTAAAATTGATTCATTTCACTTATTGATTGATATTAAATGATTTCGATTATTGATTGATATTAAATGACTTCTATTATTGATTGATTTTGATTGATTTCAGTTATTGATTAAAATTGATTGATTTCTATTATTGATTGATATTAATTGATTTCAGTTATTGATTAAAATTAATTGATTTCAATTATTGATTTAAATTATTGGTTGATATTGATTGATTTTAGTTATTGATTAAAACTGATTGATTTAAATTATTGATCGAAATTGATTGATTCAGTTATTGATTAAAATTGATTGATTTCTATTATTGATTCATATTGATTGATTTCAGTTATTGATTGAAATTAATTGATTTCAATTATTGATTTAAATTATTGGTTGATATTGATTGATTTTAGTTATTGATTAAAACTGATTGATTTAAATTATTGATCGAAATTGATTGATTCAGTTATTGATTAAAATTGATTGATTCCAGTTATTGATTAAAAACGATCGATTTTATACATTGACGAAAGATATTGACTAAAATTGTCGATCACAAAAACCGACTAAAATTATCGTTCATAACAATTCATTTCACCGTCGATTAAAGCGATAAGTTCAATTACCATCGCCATCAAAGCATCATCGAATACATTAAGAAAAATCTTCATTATGCAAATCATGCAGTGATAATCTGATTACGAGTTTGTCTCTAAAACACCGGTGTGTCGCGAATCGTCGTTGTCGAAGCCGCATTACACGGAGCAGCTGTAATATCGCGATTTTTAATCATACACGATGTCGTGCATCATATATTATCGAGCTTGGAACAAGTATTATTTCGCTAATATTCGAACCATCCGGCCACTTAATGGTGAAATACGACTCGGTGCACGGGAGACAACTCTATACCGGGTGGTTTTCGGTACCTGTCGGCCACGGTACACTTTCGCCTTCCTTTTCTCGTCTCGTATTCAAAACTAATTTTTAAAGTCACGTCGCACGAGCAAGACCGATTATTAGCGGGCCGGCTCGCAGGCTGGTTTTTTTCGCCCGGAATAATAAAACTACTTTGTCTCTCTTCGTAATAACCATCGGTTAGCCGTTCATGAAGACATAAATATTCGTCGATGTTTTGCTTGGGAATTAGCGCGCTAGCTCGATCGGTGATTCGTCTTTGTTTTATCGATTGCTCGCTGCTACAATGTATCCACCTAGCGATTAATTTCGCTCTTTCGATTTCTCTTTGCGTGCCGGTTCTTTTCGAGCAAACACAATCGGACTAATCGTCTCTACAGGACGATTCATTCTGTGAGAGGTCTAGGGGAGATTTTCATTCTGTAAGAAGTCTAGGGGAATTCTATAGTATTTCTAGGGAAAATCTAATAGGTTTTTAAAAAAATTTTGAATAACTTTTGGGGGAATTATATACAATTTCTAGGGATAATTTAATAGGTTTTTAAGAAAATTATGAACTTTTAGGGGAATTAACAATTTCTGGGGAAATTTGAAACAATAGCTAGGGAGATCCTAAACAATATCTAGGGGAATTCTATACAATTTCTAGGGATAATCTAATAGGTTTTTAAGAAAATTCTAAACTAGGGGAATTAACAATTTCTAGGGAAATTTGAAACAATAGCTAGGGAGATCCTAAACAATATCTAGGGGAAATCTATACAATTTCTAGGGAAATTTGAAACAGTAGCTAGGGAGATCCTAAACAATATCTAGGGGAATTTTAAACAATATCTAGAGAAATACAATGCAATTTCTAGTGGGATATCAGGGAAGCTCAGTCCGCAGGTAATTCCTAGGGAATTTTTACAAGGTTGCTAAATTATTTTTTGGTGGATTCTAGGGATTTTTTGGTGAGACCTTAGGAAATCTTCAAACTGAATTTCTAGAACAGAAAATTCATGTAGAAATTCTAGGGGATCCTAGGGGAATCAGGAAAACTTCTAAAAAGATTATAAGAACCTGGGGAGTATCTAGGGAGAATATCTAGGGAATTTCTATTGAAAATATGTAAAAATTACTGTGTAGGTCCTAGGGAATTATTATCAATAAAATCTAGGGAATTTCTACTCAAATTCTATAAAGTTTTCATGTCGGTTCTAATTGATAGAAAGAATCTAGGGAATTTCTATCGAAAACCTGTAAATATTTCTGTGTAGGTTCTACGGAATTATTATCATAAAATCTAGGGAATTTTTATTGAAAATCTGTAAATATATCTGTGCAGGTTCTAGGAAATTATTGTCGCAGAATCTAGGGAATTTCTACTGAAATTTTATAATACAGGTATTTTCATGTACATTCTAATTTATAACGAAAATCTAGGGAATTTCTATCTAAAATCTGTAAATATCTCTGTTTAGGTTCTAGGGAATTATTAACGAGAATTGTAAGGAATTAAATCTAGGGAATTTTTTATTGTCCTACAATAATTCTAAAAGAAGTTTCCAGAATTTGTAACGTGAATCTGGGGAATTTCTAAAGTAGAAGTAAATTCTGCAAAATTCTCAGTGGAAACTCTAGGGAATTTTTAGCAATATCCCAAGGAGCATTTGAGTACCATAAAATTTTTGTAATGCCTAAAAATTATTAACGATATCTTAGAATTTCAAAGAAAAATTCCTAAATTTTATACCAATTCAGAAAATAATTTAGGGAATTACAGAAAAGAGCGAGAAGATTCGGTGAGAAAAAGTTCGGCCTTCCAGCTGTTCATCATCGTACCCGCTAAAAACAAACTCATCGCGCATAAATCACCGCGGCGATAAATCAATACGGCCGACAATTACGCGCGAATAATCCAGAAGCATCACGTGTAAGTAGACCGCGTGGTAGCACGAACGGTGTTGCTCCGTGTGTCACGTGGTTTCCTTCGCGATGCAGCGCACGCGCCCCGTCGTATCAATTATACTAGCCGGGGCCCCGAGAAAGGGCCCCCAAACAATTTCTGCCCTCGAAGATCGATAATGGTCGAGAGCCACGGAATATATCCGTGCGCGTGTGATCATCCTTCTTGTATCGTGACACGTACACGATAATGCCGGTCTGAAAATCGCAATCAAACGATACTTAGTCTCCTCGGAGATATAATATAAGCAGGGGCTCACCGGTGATCATAGGCTAACGTACATTTAGGCAGATGCGACAGAAATTGAACGTCTCCCTTCGTCCTGTCGGATATCCTCTTCTTCCTCTTCGTCGCCGTCTTCTTCTTCTTTTCTTCCTTTTTCCTTGTGACTGCCCACTCGCATCGCGTGCGCATTGTTTCGCTGCTTTTGATGCTTCTTCCTTTCTTCGTTCATTTGCTTATTTTAGGTTCATTTTTTTGGAGGGGTTATTCGAAGTTTTATATAGGTGGATATTGGGGTTCAGATGGATTTAGAGATTCGGATGGATTTAGAGGTTCGGATGGATTTAGAGATTCAGGTGGATTTAGAGGTTCAGATGGATTTAGAGATTCAGATGGATTCAGAAGTTCAGATGGATTTAGAGGTTCAGATGGATTCAGAGGTTCAGATGGATTTAGAAGTCCAGATGGATTTAGAGGTTCAGGTGGATTTAGAGGTTCAGATGGATTTAGAGATTCAGGTGGATTTAGAGGTTCAGATGGATTTAGAGATATAGGTAGATTTAGAGGTTCAAATGGATGTAGATGTTCAGATGGATTTAGAGGTTCAGATGGATTTAGAGGTTCAGATGGATTCAGAGGTTCAGATGGATTTAGAGATTTAGATGGATTTAGGGGTTCAGATGGATGTATAGGTTTAGATGGATTTAGAGGTTCAGATGGATTTAGAGGTTCAGATGGATTTGGAGGTTCAGATGGATTTAGAGGTTCAGATGGAGTTAGAGGTTCAGATGGATTTGGAGGTTCAGATGGATATGGAGGTTCAGATGGATTTAGAGATTCAGATGGATTCAGAAGTTCAGATGGATTTAGAGGTTCAGATGGATTTAGAGATTCAGATGGATTTAGAGATTCAGGTGGATTTAGAGGTTCAGATGGATCTAGAGGTGCATTGAAATAGGTAGATTCAAAGGTAGATGGGATAGTTAGATTCACATGATTAGGTTCAGAGCTAGATTCAGATATGTAGGTTCATAGATTAAGGTATTTTAATTCAGATTCAGAGATGGAGTAGATGGAATAGGTAGATTCACATGATCAGATTCAGAGGTAGATTCACATGATTAGGTTCAGAGGTAGATTCAGATATGTAGGTTCATAGATTAAGGTATTTTAATTCAGATTCAGAGATGGAGTAGATGAACTAGGTAGATTCACATGATCAGATTCAGAGGTAGATTCACATGATCAGATTCAGAGGTAGATTCACATGATCAGACTCAGAAGTAGATTCACATGATCAGATTCAGAGGTAGATGCAGATATGCAGTTAGGTTTATAAGTTGACATATTTTCATCCAGATAGTTAGATTCACATGATCAGATTCAGAGGTAGATGCAGACATGTAGTTAGGTTTATAAGTTGAGATATTTTCATCCAGATAGTTAGATTCACATGATCATATTCAGAGGTAGATGTAGACACGTAGTTAGGTTTAAAAGCTGACATATTTTCATCCACATAGTTACATTCATATGATCATATTCAGAGGTAGATGCAGACATGTAGTTAGGTTTATAAGTTGAGATATTTTCATCCAGATAGTTAGATTCACATGATCATATTCAGAGGTAGATGTAGACACGTAGTTAGGTTTAAAAGCTGACATATTTTCATCCACATAGTTAGATTCACATGATCATATTCAGAGGTAGATGCAGACATGCAGTTAGGTTTATAAGTTAAGACCTTTTCATCCACACAGTTAAATTCACGTAATAAGCTCCAAAGTTAGATTCAGACTTAGATTCAGAAATATTAGGTTCACAGTTAGGTTCACAGTTAAATTCAGATATGTATTTAGCTTCAGAGTTAGATTCAGAATCACACTTAGACAGGTACACAGTTACCTTCAGATCTTCATCAGCTCTTTCGCGTCGTGTGGCCGCCACGCGACGAGACGCCTCGCGTCAACCAAAGGCGTCGTGCCGTATCGATCGATCGAGTCGATATCTCCAGGCAAGATCGACAGACCGCCGCCTGTAACTGGGTTACAGGACGCATTAATGCGCGACTCGATTACAAGGCAGCCCCCGATTGATTCAGCCCGGCGCAATTTGCCAGATTAAACGTTCGCCGGCACCCGGACCAAGCGATTCCTGAATTCGTAATTTCTTACCATCTCGCTCGAACACCCTGGACATACACTCGAAACATCTGTTCCGATACCTCGACCAGACATTCACCGATGACACCAGACGTTCCGTGTTAGCGTGTCGGCTGTTTGCTTTTGATTGGAGCGAAAGTCGACTACTGCTTCCAAGGAGAAATCCTCTGATAGCTCTTTTTATGACGCTTGCAAGGACACCGTGTGGAGATTCTTAATTGAGCTGTTATCGTACTTGTGGATTCATTATGGTTTTGGGATGATAGATAGTTGGGTATTTCATTAGGGTTTATGGGAGTACTTGGCTCATTTTGAGTGGTAAGAGAGGGTTGTATTTGGATAGCTAGGTCTTTTTAGAATTCTTATGTGGACTCCAAATGCGTATGGAGATGTAGCTTCTTAATTAGGGAGAGTTATACTTGGTTATGGGTTAGGTGCTGAAATCTTGAGATTCTTAAATTTGTATATAGTAAATCCTCAAGCTCAGAAAATTTGGAGGTCCCCAGATCCTCAACCCATCCCTACATCTGAAAATCCTTAAACTCTTGGTTTACCAAATCCCCAAGTTTCCATGTTAGTAGGTAACAAGAGTGAAATCTCCAAATCTTAACCTACCCCTACATCTCAAGATCCTCAAAGTCCTAGACTACCAAATCCCCAAATTTCCATGTCAATATGTCTCCAAACATCAAATTCCCCAAATGTTGAACCCATCCTGACTCCTTGAGATCCCCAAACTCCTGAACTACCAAATCCTAATATTTGAGTACCAACAGGTCTCCAAATACTAAACTCTCGAAATCCTAAGGTCCTCAAATCTAAATCCAATCCGACAACGTCAGATCTCCAAATTCCCAAATTAGCAAATGTCCAAATTATCTCCACAGATCTCCAAATAGATCAAACTCCCCAAATCCCCAGATCCCTAAATCTAAACCCAATCCAACATCGTCAGATCCCCAAATTCCCAAACTAGCAAATTTCCAAATTACCTCCACAGATCTCCAAATAGATGAAACTCCCCAAATCCCCAAGTCCCCAAATCTAAACTCAATCCAACATTGTTAGATCCCCAAATTCCCAAACTAGCAAATGTCCAAATTATCTCCACAGATCTCCAAATACACTAAACTCTCGAAATCCCCAGGTCCCCAAATCTAAACCCAATCCAACATCGTTAGATCCCCAAATTCCCAAAGTAGCAAATGCCCAAATTATCTCCACGGATTTCCAAATAGATGAAACTCCCCAAATCCCCAAGTCCCCAAATCTAAACTCAATCCAACATTGTTAGATCCCCAAATTCCCAAACTAGCAAATTTCCAAATTACCTCCACAGATCTCCAAATAGATGAAACTTCCCAAATCCCCAGATCCTCAAATCTTAACCCATCCTGACATCTGGAGATCCCCAAACTCCTGAACTACCAAATCCTAATATTTGAGTACCAACAGGTCTCCAAATACTAAACTCTCGAAATCCTAAGGTCCTCAAATCTAAATCCAATCCGACAACGTCAGATCTCCAAATTCCCAAATTAGCAAATGTCCAAATTATCTCCACAGATCTCCAAATAGATGAAACTCCCCAAATCCCCAGGTTCCCAAATCTTAACCCATCCTAACATCATCAGATCCCCAAAGTCCCAAACTAGCAAATGTCCAAATTATCTCCACGGATCTCCAAATAGATGAAACTCCCCAAATCCCCAGTTCCCCAAATGTTGAACCCATCCTGACACTTTGAGATCCCCAAACTCCTGAACTACCAAATCCTAATATTTGAGTACTAACAGGTCTCCAAACACTAAACTCTCGAAATCCCCAGGTCCCCAAATCTAAACCCAATCCGACAACGTCAGATCTCCAAATTCCCAAACTAGCAAATTTCCAAATTATCTCCACAGATCTCCAAATAGATCAAACTCCCCAAATCCCCAGATCCCCAAATCTTAACCCAATTCAACATCATCAGATCCCCAAATTCCCAAACTAGCAAATGTCCAAATTACCTCCACAGATCTCCAAATAGATCAAACTCCCCAAATCCCCAGGTTCCCAAATCTTGAACCCGAAATGACCACATTTCCCAAGAATCCCCAAAAACAACAGCGGAAAATGTCCACATCTATAACATATTTTCCCCAGGAAAAGCAGATTTGCTGTCGACTGTACAAATATTAAAAAAAGAACACCGTGATTCAATTACGCCACTTTTACCGATGTTATCGGTATTCTTTATCGCGCGGCCGTAACAATTAATGGACGTTTAAACGAGGCCTCATTAGCATCCCACGAAAAATTATTTAAACCGAATTTTATTGCAATACAGATTTACCGTGGGCAGCATTTACGTCAGCCGTGGTCTCGTGTCATCGATTATATCGACAAGGAGTCGCATTATGCTAATGTAATCGACGCGATTTTTCTCCTCGACTTGTTTTTTTTCGCCAACGTTTTCGAGTCCTAACGATCGTTCGCGAACAACAAAGTAGACGTTTAATTAGAGCAGCTTGCACGGCGACGATGTCACAGTTTGCGATACCATAATTCTCGTGAAATTAAAATAACGATACTGGAGCCAAGTTTTATTTAGCGGACAGCTAAGCCACCTGGATGTCGATAGTCGATCGCGACCTCGTGTCTTACGATACCATCTTGCTTTATGACGGCCATAACTCAGACGCCAGAGTTCATGGAGGATTAGGTAGAATGTTAAAATTCGAGTAATCGATAGGTTCGCTTAATTGCGAGCATCGGTTTTTGTGCATGCTGCGCCGAAGGGCGGGCATTGCGATAAAAGATAGGGCGATGTGAAGGTAAGAATGGTTTATGACTGTTTGCAAAGCAACGGAGTTATCAAATTTTCTGTTTTAATGATATTTTTGAGGTTTGATTTTTAATTGATTTGTGCATGAAATGTGGGAGATTAATTAATTTGATAATTAATACATTCATTGCCACACTGGGGCCACACTGTTCTACTACTACTTTTATGATTAATACATTTTATTTATCTTTGTAGTATTTATTATTCAGTTCCAAGTAATTAATAATATTAATTTGGTAAATAAATAAATTATGAATGATCATATAGAAATTTAGACATTAGCTATACCGTCGCTCGAGTGAATTGAGTGGTGGGGTTCGAGATTCTGAACAACTTTTCCCTTTGCAAAAATTCGCTCTGAAGCTTCGTTTCTGAATTATTAAGGAAAAACACGGACCAATCAGAGCGCGAGGGCGGAGCTTGTCTCGCGCCTGCGCACGTGACTCACAGTCTGATTGGCCCTGTGTTTTTCCTTAATAATTCAGAAACGAAGCTTCAGATCCCATTTCTGCAAAGGGAAATCTTATTCAGAATCACGTCAGCTACCATTTCAGAGACCTGCGCTAATTGTGAGACAGCCTGTATGTATGTATATTTGAATATATACCGAGTTACCTAAATACGTACCAAATATTAGTATTACATTACACTCCACTCAAATGATTCAATGAAACTTCAATTGAATCCAATCAAACGAAATAAACCATAAAACAAACACCTCCTCCCGTAAATCACACATAAGATTTCGTACGCGCACTAATCGTAATTGTCGGGAAGGCGATGGTGTTAAGTTAATATTAATTGCAATGATAACAGGTCGTATTACGCGAAGGATGATGTACCAGATAATTTTCGTTATAATTAATACGAAGATCGTTATCGAGGATAAGAGACGAGGATGATGGTTAATGGATAAAGTACAGGTGATCCCCGTCGCGGAAGAGAGGTGTTAATATTCATACG